TAGTCACTTAGTAGCAGTCTCTGCTATCAAATCAACTGGTATCAAGGTATCACAGTGCAGTGCTTGTTTCAAGTAACCCTTATTTTACTTAATAATGGCTCCAAAGCACAAGAGTGGTGATGCCTGCAATTCGGGTATGCCAAAAAGAAGCTGGAAAGTGCTTCCTTTAAGTGAAAAAGTGGAAGTTCCCAACTCTTCCACTTTTTCCTTTCTATGTAAGGAAAAAACATAGTACATAGAGGGTTCAATATTATCTGCAGCATCCACTGAGGGTCTTGGAACATGTTCCCCACAGATAAGGGGGCACAGATGTTATCACAGTTTAGTTAATGGGAAACATTCAGCCACTTGACTAAGATTACTCAAACTAGGTGAGGCATGAATCTTCCAAACCTACCCAAAATGCAACTTTTAGGTAGCTTTCTTAACACTACCTAAATTTTACATTTAATTTCTATATTTAAGAATAGTTGTTCGCCAGGCATGGTGGCCCACGCCGTAATTCCAGCACTTTGGGAGGCCGAGGTGGGCAGATCCCTTGAGCTCAGGAGTTCGAGACCAGCCTGGGGAACAAGGCAAAACTCCGTATCAACAAAAAAGTACGTGGCTTCACGCCGAATCCCAGCACTTGGGAGGCTAAGGTGGATCACCTGAGGTCAGAAGTTAAAGACTAGCCTGGCAAAATGGTGAAACCTCTACATTTTAAAAAAATATAAAAATTAGCAGGCATGGTGGTGTGGCCTGTAAATCCCCAGCTACTTGGGAGTCTGAGGCAGGAGACTGCGCTTGAACCCGGGAGGCAGGGAGTTGCAGTGAGTCAGCCATGCTGCACTTCCAGCCCAGACAGAGCGGAAGACTCACAGCCTTGAAAAAAAAGTTTGGGTTACGCAAATAGTGCAACGTTAAGCGCCGCGCAAACCTGTGTGGTTCAACTGACAACCATTCTTCTCCTCCTTCCTTTTTTTTTTTTTTTTTTTTTTTTTTTTTTTGAGACAGGGTCTCATGCTCTGTCACCAGGCTGGGAGTGCAGTGGCACAACCACTGTTCACTGCAGCCTTGAACAACCTCTGGTTCCAAGCAATCCTCCTGCCTCAGCCTCCTGAGCAGATGGTACCACAGTGGTCCATGCCACATGCCTGTGGCTTTTTTTTTTTTTTTTTTTTGAGACGGAGTCTCGCTCTGTCTGTAAGGCTGGAGTGCAGGGCTGATCTCAGCCTACCAAGCTCCGCCTCCCGGTTCACGCCAGCTCCTCCGTGCCTCAGCCTCCTTTTCAGTAGCTGGGGACTACAGGCGCCACCACCAGCCTGCTAGTTTTTTGTATTTTTAGTAGAGACTGGGTTTCACCAGGATAGCCAGGATGGTCTCGATCTCCCGTGACCTCTGATCCGCCTCTGCCTCGGCCTCCTAGTGCTGGCCAAGCAATACAGGCGTGAGCCACCATACCGCCGGCCGTAATTTTTTTGGTACTTTTTGTTGATACGGAGTGAGCCTTGTTCCCAGGCTGGGGCACTTGGCTCCTTGAGTTTCACGATGGGATCTGCTCACCTCGGCCTCCCAAAGTGCTGGAATGACAAGGCAGCCACCATGCCTTCATGCTTAACAACTATTCTTTAATATAGAAATTAAATGTAAATTTAGGCAGAAAGCTACCTAAAAGCTGGGCCTTTTGGGTAGGTTTGAAAAGATTCATGCCCTCACCTACTTGATAATCTTAGTCAAGTGGCTGAATGTTTCCCATTAACTAAATCAGGATAATGATCTGTGCCCCTTATCTGTGGGGGAACATGTCTCCAAGCACCCTCTCAGTGGATGCTGCAGATAATATTGAACCCTCTATGTACTCATGCTTTTTTCCTTACAAGGAAGGAAAAAAAGTAGCTACTGGGAACTTCCACTTCTTTTCTGCCTTCTAAGGAAAGCACTCTTCCAGCTTCTTTGGCATATCTTAATTGCAGGCATCACCACTCTGAAAGCTTGGAGCCATTAGCTAAGTAAAAATAAGGGCATTTTGAAACAAAGCACTGCACTGTGATACCTTGATACCAGTTGATTTGGCGGTGGTAGACCGCTATCGGCGGATTCAAGGGTCACCGATAGGTAATATGAAACTGACTGTGTGGACAAAGAGATGATCAGGTCCTTAGTGACGCAGAATATTAGCAAAGATACTTCTTCATATGCATTGAAATGAGTGTACACACCAAACACCATTTATTTCAGAGTTTGATTATTTTTTGCAGGACTATATGTTGATAACATTCCAGACAAGTTAGAGTGTTATCCCTAAAGGCAAAAAACTTAAAGCACAACTAACAATATATATAATTTCCTTCCTTTTCTCCTCAGATGATAATATAGTAAATCCCTGAGTGCTTTTTTATCTGTAAAACTAACTCTATTGTCCTTCCATGAGTTCCTCAATCCTTGATACCAGTTGATTTGATAGCAGAGACTGCTACTAAGTGACTAAAGGGCTGATAGTGTGGTAAGTATGAACACACTGGACAAAGAGATGATTCATCCTAGGGGACCAGAGCAGGACAGTGTGAGATTTCCTCATGCTATTTGGAACAGTGCACAATTTAAACCATTTATTTCAGGAGTTTTCCATTTATTTTTGGACCATGGTTGACTGTCAGTTAAGTGAACTTCAGAAGCAAAACTGCAGATGGGGGTACTAATGTAATACATTCTTTCTTCTTTTCCTCTCTAGATTATAAATAGGAATCTCTGATGCTTACCTGCACCCAACTTATCTTTCATAGCCCTCACTACCACTGCCTCACTTTGACTGGTGAGTACACAGGAAATATTGATGAAAACAGGTGATGCCATCTGCTGGAAGGAAGTGAAGTTGACCACTCTTACAGAGTAGATGGCCAGGCCAGGAGTGAGGGGAGAACGGCTATGGCCAGTGACCACTAGAACTGGGGAGCTGGAGATGACCTTGGAGAAAAGATAAAACCTTTTATTTAAAAGAAGAAAATCAGTTTTGTATCAGTATGTTCCAATCTCAAATATATACAGTACAATAATTGTCAAGATCTGGATTTCTAGCTAGCTGGCCGACAAACAATAAATCATTTACTTTTTTGTTGTTGTTTTGAGAGGGAGTGTCGCTCTGTCACCCAGGCTGGAGTGCAGTGGCACGATCTCAGCTCACTGCAAGCTCCGCCTCCCGGGTTCAAGCGATTCTCCTGCCTCAGCCTCCCGAGTAGCTGGGACTACAGGCGCCTGCCACCATGCCCAGCTAATTTTTGTACTTTTAGTAGAGACGAAGTTTCACCATGTTGGCCAGGACGATCTCGATCTTGTGATCCACCCACTCGGCCTCCCAAAGTGCTGGGATTACAGGCGTGAGCCACCACGCGCGGCCAATCGTTTACTTTTTACTCCTTTAGGTATGTTGACAAAGCTCATGACCTAGATTTTGGACTCTGGGAGTCTGCCTGGCATTATGAAGGAGACGGGTTTTCTTCATTTGATTTGGTCATTTCCCATGGTGATTTTTATTAGGTCACTCAGTAACTTCTTTTGCCCTTGAAGTGCGCATGAAAAATATCTTTTCAAATTCTTGATCTCTTGTTCTGTTTTGGTTCAGTCCTTAACATACCTCTAGCTTCCCAAGAACTCTGTCCACTCCCAGTACTCTTATCTCTCCGATATCTTGCTTGTGGCTAAGAACCAATTCTGACTGGTTAATATAAAAGGCTGGGATGAAAGGAATGAGGATTCGTTGCATTCCATTCTTGCTACGTTCACTGACCAGTGTAGCCCACCCATAGACTGAGGTGTCAGCCACACTGAGGGCCTGTAGCAGCTCCTCTGACTGCGGTCGAACCTTGATTATGCAGATATAAACCCCTGAAAAAAAAAGAGGAAAAACTGATCAGGAAGGTTCAGAGGCTCTACTGAGCCAACTGAATTAGGATAGGAAGGAGAAACTGTGACATGCGAATTCAGCAAAAGAGAAAATGTGAATTTAGTTTTGAGTGTTCAATATCAGCACAATATTGGTCACTATGAGGAGGATACCAAATAAAAACAGTCCTAGAGAAACCACAACTGAATTTGTTTACTGAGCATACCATTCTTTCTTTTTTTTTGGAGACAGGGTCTCGTGCTGTCATGCAGGCTAGAGCACAGTGGCACGATCATGGCATTCTGCAGTCCTGCCCTCCCAGGCTCCAGCGATCCTCCCACCTCAGCCTCCCGAGTAGCTGGGACTACAGGCATGAACCACCATGCCTGGCTAATTTTTGTATTTTTAGCTGAGGCGGGTGGATCACAAGGTCAAGAGTTCAAGTCCAGCCTGGCCAACATGGTGAAACCCCATCTCTACTAAAAATACAAGGATTAGCCGGGTGTGATGGTGGGTACCTGTAATCCCAGCTACTTGGGAGACTGAGGCAGGGAAATTGCTTGAACCTGGGAGATGGAGGTTGCAGTGAGCTGAGATCGCACCACTGCATTCCAGCTTGGGGACAGAGCAAGGCTCCGTTTCAAAAAAAAAAAAATTTTTTTGTATTTTTTTTGTAGAGATGAGGCTTCACTATGTTGCCCAGGCTGGTCTCAAACTCCTGGGCTCAAGCCATCCTCCTGCCTTGGCCTCCCAAAGGGCTGGGTTTACAAGTGTGAGAAAGCACCCCTGGCTAAGAATACCATTCTTATTCAACATGTCAGGGAATATTAAATGATATAACACAAGCAGGGCACTTAAGAGCTGGGGATACAGAACGAAGGAGTCAGTGCTGGTGAACTCAGGAAAGGATTTGTGAAAGAAAGACAAGCTTTGAGTGTCATTAATAACTTACGCATCAGACCACCTCTTGGTGTCATTATTTTTAGTCAATGGTAGGAACTGTTTTTCTAGTTACCCATGCTTAATCCTTAGCTGTCTTCGTTTTTTTTTTTAAAAGAGAGAGAATTTCACACTGTTGCCCAGGTTGGAGTGCAGTGGCGCAATTCTACCTTACTGCAGCCTTAAACTCCTGGGTTCAAGTAATCCTCCCACCTTAGCCTCCCAAGTAGCTAGGACTCTAGGCATGTGCCACCATGCCTGGCTAATTTTTAATTTTTATTTATTATTATTATTTTATATATATTTTTGAGACGGAGTCTCGTCCTGTTGCCCAGGCTGGAGTGCAGTGGTGCAATCTCAGCTCACTGCAAGCTCTGCCTCCGGGGTTCACGCCATTCTCCTGCCTCAGCCTCCCGAGTAGCTGGGACTACAGGTGTCCGCCACCACATCCAGCTAATTTTTGTATTTTTAGTAGAGACGGGGTTTCACTGTGTTAGCCAGGATGGTCTCGATCTCCTCACCTCGTGATCTGCCCACCTCGGCCTCCCAAAGTGCTGGGATTACAGGCGTAAGCCACCATGCCTGGCCTATTTATTATTTTTGTAGAGACAGAGTCTTGCTCTTGCCCAGGCTGGAGTGCAGTGGCATGAACACAACTCACTGAAACCTTGAATTCTTGGGCTCAAGCAATCTTCCTGCCTCAGAGATAGGGCTACAGGTGCGCGCCACCAGGCCTCGCTATTTTATTTTTTGAGAGACAAGGTCTTGCTATGTTGCCCAGGCTGGTTTCAAACTCCTGGGCTCGAGTGATCCTCCTGCTTCAGCCTCCTAAAACATTGGGATTATAGGCATGAGCCACTGCACCTGGCCTTAGTTGTCTTTACATCCTTTCCTTCATCCCTATATCCAGTCATTTCCAAATCTTGCTAACTCCTCCTCTGAAATGTCTCTGACATCTGCCTCTTCTTAGTATTTCTCTATTAGTCTGGTCTAGACCCTTATCAAAATGTATGCTTGGATTATTGCAGTTGGATAATTATGGATAATTAGTCTGGTCCAGACCCCTTAGTCTGGTCTAGACCCTTATCAGTTCATGCTTGCGTTATTGCCCCTTCACAGGTATCCTTGCCTGTTATTCCACTTTTCTTTTTTTTCTTTTGAGACCAAGTCTCACTCTGTCGCCGAGGTTGGAGTGTGGTGGTGTAATCTCAGCTCACTTCAAGCTCTGCCTCCCAGGTTCAAGTGATTCTCCTGCCTCAGCCTCCCACGTAGCTGGGATTACAGGCGCCCGACTAATTTTTGTATTTTTAGTAGAGGCAGAGTTCCACCACGTTGGCCAGGCTGGTCTTGAACTCCTGACCTCAAATGATCCGCCCACCTCAGCCTCCCAAAGTGCTGGGATTACAGGCATGAGTCACCGTGTCCTGGTATTATTCCTCTTTATTTGAGACAGGTTATCCATCTGTTGCCCAGGCTATAGTGCAGTGGTGTGATCACGGCTCACTGCAGCCTTGAACTCTTGGGCTCAAGGGATTCTCCCACCTTGGCCTCCCAAGTAGCTGGGATTACAGGCATGAGCCACTGTGGCCAGGCTATTCCTCTTTCTCTTTTCTTTTCTTTTCTTTTTCTTTTTCTTTTTTTTTTTTTTTTTTGAGATGGAGTCTTGCTCTACTGCCCAGGTTAGAGCACGGTGGCGTACTTTTGGCTCACTGCAACCTCCACCTCCTGAGTTCAAGCAGTTCTCCTGTATGAGCCTCCTGAGTAGCTGGGATTACAGGTGTGCACCACCACGCCCGGTTAATTTTTGTATTTTTAGTAGAGACGGGGTTTCACCATGTTGGTCAGGCTGGTCTTGAACTCCTGACCTCGTGATCCACCCTCCTCGGCCTCCTAAAGTGCTGGGATTACAGGCATGAGCCACCGTGCCCGGCCCCTCTTTTCTTTTTCTTATCCATTCTATATACTGCCACTAAATCCTTAAAAACTGCTTTCATTCTTTATTTTATTTTATTTTATTTCTTTTTATTTTTTTATTTTTTTTGAGATGGAGTCTTGTCTGTTGCCCAGGCAAGATGGAGTGCAGTGGCGTGATCTCGGCTCACTGCAACCTCCGCCTCCCCGGTTCAAGCAATTCTCCTGCCTCAGCCTCCCAAGTAGCTGGGACTACAGGCGTGAGCCACCAGGCCTGGCTAATTTTTGTATTTTTAGTAGAGTTGGGGTTTCACCACGTTGGCCAGGCTGGTCTCGAAGGCCTGACCTCAGGTGATCCACCCGCCTCAGCCTCCCAAAGTGCTTGGATTACAGGCCCAGTGTTTTTTGTTTTGTTTTGTTTTGTTTTGTTTTTTTGAGATGGGGTTTCGTTCCTGTTGCCTAGGCTGGAGTGCAATGGTGTGATCTCAGCTCACCACAACTTCTGCCTCCTGGGTTCAAGCGATTCTCCTGCCTCAGCCTCCCGAGTAGCTGGGATTACAGGTATGCACCACCATGCCTGGCTAATTTTGTATTTTTGTATTTTTTTTCTTTTTTTGTTGAGACAGAGTTTTGCTCTTGCTGCCCAGGCTGGAGTGCAATGGTATGATCTCGGCTCACCACAGTCTCCCCGTCCCGGGTTCAAGCAATTCTCCTGCCTGAGCCTCCCGAGTGGCTAGGATTACAGGCATGTGCCACCACACCTGGCTAATTTTGTATTTTTAGTAGAGACGGGGTTTCTCCACGTTGGTAAGGCTGGTCTCGAACTCCCGACCTCAGGTAATCTGCCCGCCTCAGTCTCCCAAAGTGCTGGAATTACAGGCATGAGCCACCACGCCCCACCCTAATTTTGTATTTTTAGTAGAGATGGGGTTGCTCCATGTTGGTCATGCTGGTCTTGAACTCCCAACCTCAGGTGATCTGCCCACCTCAGCCTCCCAAAGTGTTGGGATTACAGGCATGAGCCACAGTGCCTGGCCAAAAACTGCCTTCATTTTTATTTTATTTATTTATTTATTTATTTATTTAGACAGACTCTTGCTCTGTCACCAAGGCTAGGGTGTAGTGGCATTATCATGGCTCACTGCAGCCTCAACCTCCTCGGCCCAAGTGATTTCATCTTATTTTTGGGGGAAAAAAACAAACCAAACCAAAACTAAAACAAACTTCTCTAGGGCCCTATATTGCCTGGAATGTCCTGTTCTCTTCACATCTAGTTCACTCTTAATCATACTTCTAAAGGTCATTCCCTCTGTAAAACCTTACTTATTTTTGCCTCAGGTTTCATGTAGATACTCCTCCTTTCTTTCTGCTTTCTTTTTATTTATTTATTTATTTATTTTTCTGAGATGGAGTCTCACTCTTATTGCCTAAGCTGGAGTGCAATGGCGTGATCTCGGCTCACTGCAACCTCCGCATCCTGGGTTCAAGCAATTCTCCTGCCTCAGCCTCCCGAATAGCTGGGATTACAGGCATGTGCCACCACACCCGGCTAATTTTGTATTTTTAGTAGAGACCGGGTTTCCCCATGTTGGTGAGGCTGGTGATGAACTCCCGACCTCAGGTGATCCGCCCGCCTCAGCCTCCCAAAGTGCTGGGATTACAGGCGTGAGCCACCGCACCTGGCCTGTATTTTTTTCTATCTATCTATCTATCTATCTATCTATCTATCTATCTATCTATCT